GAGACTCGCTTGAGCCCAGGAGTTGGAGGTTGCTGTGAGCTGTGATGCCACGGCACTCTACCCAGGGGGGATAGCTTGAGGCTCTGTCTCAAAAATAAAAATAAAAATAAAATAGAGACCATCATAGACAGTATGTTTGATGTGAAAGCAGTAGTAGTCCATATAGCTCTAGAGAGACATCTCAAAAGACATCCTCAGCATCAGACTTTCACTAACACCTTTTCTAACCTACCTTGGCTGGGCACCACGAACAGGGGATGAGCAAATCGTACCCTCTAGAAGCTCAAGATATGGCGGATGGAAGAAACAGCTGCCTATCAAAAGTCACAGCCCCTAAGTGTAATCATTTTAAAATATGTCCATAAATTCTTTGATATTCTTTCCTTTTCATGGGGTAGAATATAAGTCTTTTCCCCTCAGTATGGGCCAGATTCAGTGGCTCACTTCTAATAAATAGAATGTGACTGAAATAAACATTGTGTGAGTTCCAAAAGACCATTCTCCACTTTGTTCTCTCTTAGATCACTTGCTCTGGGAAATGCCAGATGCCATGTCATGAGGACACTTAAGCAGCTCATGAAAAGAATCATGTCACAAGTTCAGGCACGGTGGCTCACGCCTATAATCCTAATACGCTGGGAGGCTGAGGCAGGTGGATCGCTTGGGCTTGAGTTTGAGACTAGCCTGGGCAAAAGCGAGACCCCGTCTCTACAAGAACAGAAAAACTAAGGCAAGAGTATAGCTTGAGCCCAACAGCTGGTGGCTGCTATGAGCTATCATGCCACGGCACTCTACCCAAGGCAACAGCTTGTCTGTCTCAAAAAGAAAACAAAAGAGAAACATGTCACAGGATCTGAGCTCTCCTGATAACAGCTGCCAAAGAACAGCGGCTTTTGCCATTAGCCATGTGAGTGAACTGTCTTAGAACTGGAAACTCGGCTCGGTGCCTATAGCTCAACCGGCTAAGGCGCCAGCCACGTACACCTAAGGTGGCGGGTTCGAATCCCCAGCCCGGACCCGCCAAAC